TATAGAGCAGCTTGAAGATGGGTTCCTTGAACATAGTGTGAACTCCTTTGGACGACCCCCCTGGAGGGGGTAGTAGTCCCTTTCGGGGAGTATCCTCTCGCTCCCTCTCTTTTCTCTTAGATTGGAGGGTTCGGTCTTTGCTGTTTCCCATCTCGTCCTCGATCCTTGAGTATTTGTTTATCCGGGCCATCAGCTCGCCCATATCCGAGGGAGTCTTCTTGGTCAAGGATCGGTACAGGTCCGTGTCCCTTGCCAAGCCGAGCCTAAAAAACGCCGCTGCCATGACTTCCGAGCAACCTTCTACCTCATTGACCTCTTCCCAGTACCGGATGGCATACTGACGAAGGGTCTCGGATTCCCTACGTCTGAGCGTTAGCAATGATCCAACGTCTTTAGGCCGTTTACTCCCCGTAATGAATCGAGCCAGGAACTGCCTCGTCAATTCCTTCCACGATCCAATACTGTTGGGGGGAAGCGCCTCGAACCACTTCATCGTAGAGTCCCCCAAGCTCATAGGAAACACTCGGCAGAAGAACCGTTGGTTTGAATGATAGAGGGACATCATCTGCTTGTATTGCCTGAGATGGGCTTCAGGATCGGACCGCCCGTCATAAGTTTTGAACCTCGGCACGACGAACTTTCTTGAAACCTCCATCTCTCCGATCTCCCTGGTAAAGGGTGTTTGTATGACCTCGTCTTCGACCTCATCCTGGACAGCCTTACTCTTTCTCCTGGATTCCAACCGGGCTCTGAGATCAATTTCCTCCCTGACGGGATGTCTTCTGAAGTCCTTGAGTTCATCAATAGGCCCCCCATTTCCTGGGCGCCGTGTGGATAGGGTAGAATCCTCCTCGGACTCATCTCCCTTCCTCCGTCTAGACAATCCTCGCCGGAGGTCGTCCAGGGCTAATGGCCTTGCCTTCCTTGAATGGTCGTTAGGAGGTGCTCGTTGGCTCTCGGTCGCTTTGGGGCCCTGGAGCTTTCTGCCTTGTTGTTTAGATGATTTCTTAGATCCTTCGTTTCCACCTCCCGGGCGGGGAGCCCACGAGAAAGGAATGAGTCCCTCGACCTTTCGCCAGAGGCGGCAAATTCGTTGAGCCGGCTTAGGACGTTTACATTGTCCTTTTCCAGCTGTCGTAATCTATCGCCAAACTTTTCTTCGATCACCTCCGCCAGCTGACGAGCCAAGGAGGGCTGATCCTCCTGACCTGATTCCCATACTGGTTTGAGGGGTAACCCCTCTTGACTGAGTAGAGGCATTTTTATTCCCATCAGTGTGATCCCTCCCTCTATGGTGACAGAGAGCTTGTAATTCGAGACTTCTTTGGTGGGGACCTTTCCCTTTTTGTCGAGTGTTCACCATGGTCACTGTTCTTTATAGAGAAAAAACTAGGAAAACTAGTCATTTCCCACAGACGACGCCAGATTGTGCGTGCTGGATCTTGCACAATATAAATACGAGAACAGATCTCTCCTTTAGTGAACTCGAGTGAGTCAGTCGAGTGGTCAACCCCGCTGCTTGGAACAGCCTGTGAGGTCTGGTGGTAACTTGAAATGGTAATGGGAGACCCTCGTGGATCAACGGAACGATCCAGTAAGGCTGAAGAAAGGTTCCTGGAATAAAGAAGAACAAGTTAGAAGGGCGCCGAAGTGTTTTTCAGCGTATCCCCTCCGACGATCAAGTCAGTTTTTGAGAGAGAGGAAGAATAAAACATTGAGTATAATTTGTAGCAAAGGTTTCACCTCCTTTGTCTTGCCTTTTGTGAGGAGTATTTATACCTCAAATACTCATGATTGCTGTCAGTGTGGTCAGTAGGTGATCATTAGATACAGGCAACGTGCGTACTGATTCCTACGAGGAATGTCTTCTCTTTTAACTGCTCGGGACCCTGAGCAATCAAGACTGTGTCATCGGCCTGCCGACGGTTCAATGAACTCCTCTCGGCAAGGATGTAATAAATGTCTAGCCTTAGAGACATTTATTACCTTTCACTTCCGAGCCTTACCGCATTAAATGTTGTCTCATCAAAGGAATGGTATAATTAAATGCTTGCTTTCCCAAGTCGTATGTCAGCAAGGGCATCCGGTCTTTCTGTCTCTGATGTGACACAATATGTCACGCGTCCATTCCCCATTGGCTGTGTCCCCTGCCCTCTGTGCCTTCTGACACCAATTGCGTAAGACGAGGTCATGATAGCTAACCTACCCTAGCCTAGGCTAGTGACCTGTACATCAATAGCCTCTGTTGGAGCAGAGAACGGCATCCTGGACGAGGGGGTACATCTCGGTACCGAGGAAGAGGTACATCTCGGAGCCAAGAGGGGGAGGCCTAGCGACCGATGTACCATATCAGACCGAGGGGTACGTGTCGGTACATAAAAACGTACTGGATGCCACTTGATCCCTATGATAAGTGCCTCGGGGGAGAGAGAACTTGTGAACCGATGGGTACGTGATCTCGGTAACAAGGATTAGTGACACCGATAACACGTGTTTTCATCTTTGAGTATTTCGAAAATGTCTCATCAGCTCCCTAATTAGCTAATTCCTTGGGATTATTGATGATGTTTGTTAAGGTTTTCCTATTTGGTTTTCTCAATCTTCTAATGATTAGCAATTACTTTGCCAAGCTTGGTTAGGGATGCTAAATTCCTTAATTCTGCTCGGTCTTGCCCACAGATCGGCACTTAATCTTTGGACCAACCAATTTTAGCTCAGTCTGATCTTGTTGCAAATCATTTAGCATACAAGACCTTACCACATGCTGAAATCATTACTCTGGATACATTCTCTATAATATCTTGCCCCGTCAAAAGGTTTTTTTTTTCCGTTGTTTTTGAATTTTTTGTATTATTTTTTTTTTGGGTACGAGCTCTGTGTCATTTTAAATCGAAGTATTGAGTTACTTTCTTTGAATCAAAGAAGTTTGATCAGTTCTCTATGTTTTAATTATTTTGTTGATCTTCACTATTAGGTTAAAAAGCAGTATATAGTTAGTTATCAAGTCCACTGTGCTCTTTTACTCCTATTTCGTGTCACGTGGGAACCATACTATCTTCTATTTAATTGTTTTCAACCTTACAGATTTTAATAACAACCCTCGTGTTGCATTTGCACAAAAGTCAACCCCTCAACTTTGTGTTGGGTTTTAAATGCAAACAATTTTTCTAGAGTTGGAGAGAGTCGGATTATAATGTCATGATTGATACATCTTTTCAGTAACCTTCATTTGTGACTAAGGATTGTTGCCACATTGACATGAGAACTCGAAGGGCTTGCTCAACCAACATGTTGTCCTCTCATATTCCTAGTAATTTCCTGGTACATAACATGTCGTGTGTTGGACTAGCAACCAAGCTAGCGAAATGATAAGAATGACAGCACTACAATGTATCATAGTGACAAAAATTAGTTGTAGGTTTGCATGGTTTTGTAAAATTAACATGAAATTTCTTGTAGATCACAACATTCACGTGATCGACTCCAAATGAGTAGAGGCTATGTTTCATTGAGTTGAGAATATAATGTCTTTTAATATCTTTACAAATGCAACATGAATACCGTGTAAATAATTATCATATTTTGAGAATTTTATATTTTATTTTTGGCATGTCGGTTATTAAAGTTACAATCTTTTATATATTTATTCTAATAATAAGATGTTCATTATCTTTATAGTAATTATATATAATATTTCATATTTAAAATAATTCAAGGGCTTATTTTACACATGCATATCCTTTTTTTTAACTTAAGTCAAGGCCTCTTTTTAAGATAGCGAGAATATATGTCATTATTTTTCTTTTTTACCGACTAGCAATGCATCATGTGCGTTATATGTGAAAAAAATTTAATATATATATTTTGGAAATCTGTTAAAAAAATTGAGTATACAAGTGGTTAAGTAAATGTCATCTTTAGTTAAAAAAATATTAAATATCAACTCATATCGACTAAATATATGACTACAAAGAAATGATAATTTACTAAAACGAATTATTGGATAAAAAAAATACATCCTGGCACCACAACTGTCACTGTCATCACCACTATCATTACTACCACATTATATTTTGCGATTGATTATGCAATTTGAAATTATAACTTGCACTTCAAAACAATTATAACTTAATCTTAAACTCTAAAAGACCGAAACATGAGAAATTGAAAAATCACTTAATTAAGAAAATATTTACAAAAATTATGCTAATTTCTAAGATCTAAGGTTTGAAGTGTAAAGTTTTGTTTTTATTAATTATTTTTTATTCTCTCAAAATTTTGACAATTGGTCAAGAGTCAAACTAAATAGAAATAAAAATAGAAGGCTGTATTAGTTATCAATTATAGCCCAAATAGCCTAAACAATTAAAATGGAAATTAGCCCCCAAAAGAATTTGCATTATTATAGTACCAATAAAAAGAGAGGGATTGGTGTCCATATTTAGCATACTTATAACATCCCTCCTCGCTTTTTATCTTAAATAAATACTCATAACTACATAAAACTCGTCATTTTTTATAACATGGTATATTTTATTCTACTCTCACTCTGAAATTAAACACACGGGTAATCGTGTTGAAGATCATAAGTTAATTAATAAATTCTCAACTTTTGCTAAATTTGATATTAAGCTAAAACTAGTCTATCTTATTAGATTAATTTAATTATTTTTGTTTAATAATTATAAGTAAATCAAAGTAAAGTTTATAATCAAACATTATTTATTTTTCCAAATAATAGTACTTAGTTCAAAATAATAAATAATAATAATTAATTTTTAGTACTGTGGTCTTATCTGTCAAACTATCTCTCATCTGTCAATTCAAAAACCCAAGATTGTATATACATAAACACCATATTTGCAGACCCATTTTAGGGTTTTATGGAGTTTCCATGTTTCTTTCTTTGATTCTCTCTCCTATTCAAAGTGCTTATGTTCGCTTACTCGCTATAAATTCTCTATACACTTACTGCTACTCTCTAGGTCTTTTTTGTAGGTATGGAGATGGAGGGCTTGTGCTCTGACGTTGCTGTGGTGGATAGGCTTGTGTGCTCTGCTATGGAGGCTTTGGTGGCTAAGAGTGTCATTCTAGCTGCCAAGTCACTTGCTTGCCTTTGTTTCATGGTATATATAACACAAACACCCCCTTACTCAGTCACTCACTCATTCTTTCTGGTTTTCTCCATTTTTTTCTGTGTTTCTACATTTTCTTGATTTGTTCCTGTTGTGAAGTTGGAATTTTTCTGATGTGGATTCGGATAATTGGTTTTTTTTAAAAAAATTGGGTCATATGGTTGGCTATCTGATTTTGATTATTTGTGGTATATATATTGAAATCTTTGAGCTGTGGCCTGTGTGATTATAGTAGGTGGGGTTTTGATTTCGATCATAATGGGAAATCTTTGAATAACAGGCGTTGCTATAATTTATTCTAGTTGCTTCTGTTTTGAATTTGAAATTTTCTATTGTGGGAGTGCGTCATTGGGTTTTATATTTTGTGCATGTGTGCCTCTGAATGCTAGGGTTGTATTGCTCTGATTTAGTTTTTTTCATTTTTTAGCTGTAAATTTTAGTGTCGTGGACAAGGGTCTTAATGTAGTCCCTATGGATATCTCTGCAGATGTTATGATTTTAGTGGTGGTGTACATACCTGTGTTTCTGCTTAATTTGTTACCTAGTGTTTCTGATTAATTCTCTCTTGATTGGTATTTGTGTTGCCTTTGTTTTTCATTTGTGCGCGATTAGGTATATCAGAACGGATATTTTTATTTGTCCATACTCTCCTTTTGCAGAATAATGCTAATTATTTTGTTTGAGTATATAATAATTGAATAATCATATTTTTTTATCATCTATCGTATATAATTAGCTAGTTAGCCTTTTGTCTATTAGCCAATAAAGTAGAGAAAAAGAGGAACTAACTCTGTTCGGTTCAAATATTTAATGATGTTTAAAAGCCAATTAAACTAAACATTGAATGTGTAGGCATTTTGGCTTTACCACGCTTTGTGATTCTTGTGAAAAGTCAAACAATACATAGGTAGGCTTTAATTCTTTTTTTGTTTTTGTTAATTTATTGCAATCAATTGTGGCATACATTGTTTTTTCAGAACTACAAAGTGGGAAAGAAGATAAATAAATTAATAAGGGAAATGAGAGACGTTAAATTTTTAAAGGTTTACCCGAGATTCTTTCAGACTCGACAAATGTTTTCCTGTATTTATGTTGTTTCCACCTAAGTATGTAACGAGGAATTAAGGCAATTAATAAGTTATCTTTCCTCTCACCTCTCTTGATTGACCTTTTTTGGCTTACCTTTATTGAGTTTGATTTTTTAGATATCGGCCTGACAACTCAGGTTCAACTGAGACATTTCCAGAAAACAAGCAATTCCAATCTCTATTGTTTTAAAGAGTTGTTTATTTCCTGCTGTTTCGCAGGGATGCTTTTCTATACTTTATGTAGTGATTACTTGTCACACAATGTCTTTGTTGCTAGCACACAAATATGTACGATATATTTGAGAGCTAAAAATACTTGTGTATTGGTTGAAATTCTTGTATGCTATTTCATCATATACCTTTTCAGTTTTTTTTAATGAAATGGCATTAGGTTTTGTTGTAAATCTGTTTGCATCCGAACTTGAAGTATTTTGCATTCTGTCCTCTCCTTGGGCAGAATTTTGTCATCATCAAGCTAAGCTTTCTAAGAATAATTATTGTGAAAATACTTTTTGCCCTACAAATAATCATTTTGGTGTATTTTTCCTCCTTTATCTACACTATTATGTGTTCATTGGTTTTCTTGTTTTTGTCACTCGTGTATTGGTGTCCCAGAGGCCCCAATCAGGCTAGTAAGAAATACGACTGTGACTTGTTAACTCTCAAGAGAACGAGTTCTTTATTTCTGCTTGCATAGGAAGGTTGAATTGTAGCTTATATGCTTGGTAACTTCGACTCGCTTGAATAGAAGTGAGGTATTTTTGTGCATACCATTGGTGGTTAGATTTCAGTCTTCATTATCCAAGTTGCTTAAATCCCATTTACAGTTTTAACTCTTTTGACGTCTGAAGTTTTATAGTTTCAAAAAGAGATTTTGGTCTTTATTTTTATAATTTCTTTCCGTTATCTGTTTTTATCTAAGTAGTCGTTATCATGTTAAACCTTTGCCATAATCATTCTTTGGTTATTAAATATGCAATACCAAAAATGGCACTTCTTGATAAGATATGTCTATTTATCTAACTGTTGCACAATCCTTTTATATGTACTTCCCCATGTCTTTGATGCTTGTCCAATATGGGTGCTTTGTGGAATTTTTTTTTTTGGTCACGGATATTTGCTGCATATGTAATCAGCATGTTTATGGGTTTGTTTCAGATGGGATCTTTGCCAAGTGACATTGATGTGCTCCTCAAGGAACCTAATGCTATTGAAAGGTGGATGTTTTGACTTGTTTTGGTTCCTTGATTGCTACTATAAAATGAGGATCTCAATTGGACAATTGATCATGTTGCAGGGTTTCAATACCTGATCGTAACATGGAAAAACAGCCTGATCCAGAGATTAAAGATGCCAGTGAAGCTGAAGTTGATGACGAGGGCGATGATGGTGAGGATGAACAGAATGAGGATCTTGATGGCAAGGAGGATAAATTATCAGGTGAAGAGGGAAATAATGATGATGGTGGAGGGGATCCTGAAGATAAGCCCGAGGCCACTGGCGAGGGTGTAAGTGAGGAGGAGGACGACGACGACGATGATGATGATGATGATGATGACGATGATGATACTGATGACGACGACGATGATGACGACGAGGACAACAATGAGGAAGAAGAGGAGGAAGAGATTCCCCAGCCCCCTGCTAAGAAGAGGAAATGAGAACAATGAGTGTTTTTTTTTTTTTTGCATTATTTTGCCTTTTTCTTTTGGTGAGTAGGGTGGGAATTTGGGTTTAGTAGGAACACAGAAAGGGGTGGTTCTTGTTCGGGTTCTCTGTTTGCACAGAGTAGGGAAATATGCAGTATCCGATATTAATGGACCTTGTTTAAGGTTTCTATTAACAGCTTCTTCATCATTATATCTTACCTTACATCGTTTATATTTTTGAATATTTGTCAATCATATGAAACCTTGTCGGGTAGTGAACTGTTTAAA